CCTTAAGTGCAGCAAGTGAATGAAAATGTAATGGAGCCAAGAAAATGGCTGAAGAGGTCGAAAGCTGTTATTTCGAGGAAGCTAGTGGAGGCGAGGATGCGTTCGCTTAGTCCACCCTCCGGATATTTGCGCTTTCTGAATTAGTTAGTGAAGAAGTCGAATCCAGCAGTCAAAAGCAGTCTACCACGCTCTAAATCCGAATCGTTCTTTTGGAAAAGAATTTTGAGTATAGTAACTTAGTCCGAATATGCGGTGCTAACTAAACGTAAATTTTTTTTCATGAATTTCGTGCCATGTAAAGAACTGGTATAAATAGAATTCATGTTATCTAAAAAGTTTAAAGCCAATGTAAATCATGTTCGTGGCAAACAGGGGCGTGGCTATCTGGGGCGGGGCTTTCAGTGAGGTGAACGATGTGCGGAGAGTAGAGCGATGGGCGCTTCAAGAATGCAAAAAATCACTTGACGGAAAAAAATCAATAAGAATCCTCTAACAACAACCATACAGCCTGTTTTTACTATGATGTAATAAATTTATGATGTAAATGGTGATATAATGAATGTTTTTATGAAATGAAGCTAAATCGCATTTCTTTTCAGTTTCCTGGTGGTCCGGGAATGGGCATGCCTGGACCAGAAGGCATGATGCCAGGTGAGTAGATGTACAGTAATATTCATGATTTCTTTTTTATGATTTTACATTTCTACTCAGTGATAAACATGCTACTTCAGGTCATCCAGGAGCTCCTGGATTTCCAGGTCGATTCCCGGGGAGAGCCGGTTGTCCACCGGGTGCGATGCCTCCTGGCGGATTTGGTATGTTTCCCGGTGATCCGAGAGCAATGCCCGGTCAACGGATGCCACCGAATGCGGCAATGCGCATGCCACCCGCATCGTTTGCCCCTGCAGGAATGCGACCGGGTGGGCCAGGAGGGCCTCCTCCTCCTCAAGGTAAATTTTGACCATTTTCTACATAAAATTTATGTTGGGATTCTAAGCATGTCTGTTGAAGGTATGAGGTATGGCGCTCCACCTGGTGGCGCTTTCATGGATTCTCCAGGACAAGCATTTCCACCAGGCGCTGGTATGATGCCAAACGGTGGTGGTGTAATGTGTTCACAAGCGCCGGTCGGTATGTCTATGTCTTCTCCGGGAATGCCGCCGGCTGGTGCGACTGATCCACACGGATTCATGATGAGCGGTATGCCATCAAGCTCAACGGCTATGCCCGTAAGTTTTATGGATTGAATTACTTATAAATATTACGTGAAGATAAGAATGAAGTAGGAGTTGTGGGAGTAAAATCACTCTCCTTTTACAATAAAACTCTCATATGCTTTCAAGAGATCACTTCAGTTCAGTGAAATGCTTATTTGATGTTGCAGTTTGGTATGGGAGATACATCTGTAACCATGGGTAACGGTATGGGACCAGGCGGAATGGGCGGCCCAGGTCCTGGAGGTCCTGAAGGTGGACCGCTGACAGGTTTGCTGAATGGTGAAGAACTGAAACAGTCACCTGCCTCAACTCCTCGAGGTGGAGTGAATGGTGGAACGCCGGCTCCTCCAGGATCAGCTCACAGTATGCAACCTGCATCCGTACCTGGTGGAGCTGAGATGATGGATCAACAGAGCACTAAAGTGAGTTTCAGCTGTTTTTTTTTTACTTTGAAGACATTTTCAGGCGCAGTACGGCTTGGTGAGGGCACTAAATGGTACTTAAGCAGGCCACCTTGTGAAGTCCTGTAAATTCTTGTGACCAAAATGGATCACTTGTACTATTTCGCAGTTTCACAAGACTGCACCTGTTTACCAGGAATAGCAAAAGGAATCCAGCGAGAGCGCAATAAGGCCCCCTCCCGAGCCGAACAGCGCCCATTCAATCTCTCTAATTGAAATCGCAAAATGCAAAGTCCATCGAAGGTTTCAGAAGAGCGCTGCGCTGGAAGACCCACTTTGTAAGCTTCAGGTTGTGAAGTGCGCACTTCACAAGGTGTCTTAAGATGGGTGGACGATGGAATGTTTCCCACCCTTGAAAGAAAAAAGACGTTCATCGCGAAGTCTAAACGCTGCTCAGTTGGTTCGTTCAGGCCCTGCCTAATCCAAAGCATTGCACTTTCCGCAGCTCTGCGCACTAAGACGATGTGCGAGCGGACTCCGATCGTCCGCACTCTTCTGGGGCTGAGTAGCTAGTGCGGAAAGGACCACAACATCGTCTTATCCATCAGACTACATTAGCGACTTGTCCCGCAGTTGAAAAATGTGAAACGATTTTGAGTCGGGCAATCACAATAATGCAACAAAAGTTGAAGCCGAGGTTAGCGTTCATGAGTCATGGTCCTATCAAATTACCGAAATATGAAATTTCACGGGCAATGCGGTACAGCGTCATTCTTATGAGGATAAGGAAAGTTTGTGTGATCCCACCTACAGTAGTGCCTCGTCAATATTCAACAAAAATTATCTTAGATTTACAAAGGTGTGATAATGGTTGGTGAATAATACGCAGAACAGTAGGCAGATGTTTCAGGATGACATCGAAGTGAGCAAAATCAAGCAAGGCTTGTTAGATGACTTTGCGCCAAAGGAGGAGATATCATCTGGTGATCAGCCATATTTCTAAGTCTGTGCATTCCCGTCTTTTTCGTCACACACCCAAGCACAATATTATACTTTTTGTGAGTTATGTAATCTCGCGGTGTTCTACCAATGTACAATCGCGTTTCTTATTGCGAAAATTATTTTGTCTTCCTTCTTTATAATTTTTTTGTGCTACAAAAAGTTCCGATATATTTTTTTCATTGTGATACTCTCAACTTGTGCATCACATGAGCACTTTTATTGATTTTTTTTGTTTCTCAAATCGTAACCCTAGGTTCTTAGAAAACCTGTGTAGTTTTAGTTTATCAATCTTCTTCACTACTAATTTCACTATCATGCACCGAAAATACCTTTCTAGGTTCATCATATCACTTTTTCTGAATAGGACCTTAGCAGCTCCTTTTTCAGTCTTTGGCACTCACGATTTTACCACAGTTTTGAGACTATGTAACTGTGACGCAGCGCGTTCCATCTCTTGTGCTTTAGTATTTGGACCAGTTGATATGCAGTTGGGTAAGCCACGGCGGTCTAGTTTCTGGGTAGCAACTGATTCACTTACCAGTTTCCACCCCCCGAAACTTGATGAATCACCACCGTGGTCGCGCATCCGGTTGCGTGATCGCGAAGTCTGAACGCGATCTGGTGGGAGCAGTTATTTTCATATAGCTGCGGCTGGTCTGCGCTGGTAATTGCGGAGCTTCTTCCTGTGTGGTGGCGTTCATACCTGAAGATTTGAGACCGCAAAATGTGACCCTTCTGGTAGCTCCGTCTAAAGTGATTTAGAAACAGCCCTGTTTTCACTGATAAGGTCTGTGATATAAGGAAGCGTTCAGACTTCACGATGCCACACTCCGTCGCTGTACGACGCGCAGCTATTGCAGTAGCACTCTCATGCTTCAGACGGAAGCCATAGACATTCATCAGTTGGTGTCACCCTCTAGTGTTTCGAGAGAATGGCTAATTGGAGGTTAGGCTTTACCTAATCACGCAATCTGAAATCGATCGGCGCGGGCCGCTACTGTTTTGAGTGAATATTTGAGAACAGGAGAGTATGTGACGCCTGATCACACAGCTCGGTACCCTCCTTTCTTCACTCTTTCAAAACCCTTTAGGTCGGCGCTAGTCGGTTCCAGACTGCGTAATCAGGTAACCCTATCCCATTATCCTGTATTCTCGCGAAAAATTTAAGTGCGGCACCAATTGGTACGTCTTTGGCTGCGTTTCCGTCCATAGCATTGGAGCGCTATTGCAATAGCAGCGCGTCGTAGCGCCTCGAAGCGCGTAAGAGCGAAGTCTAAACGCTGCTTAAGAAAGAGCTCTACCAGAACAGGCGCTACCGCGGTTGAAGCGCGTTGCTGCGCTCTTGTTATAGGTCTCCAGACTATCCCGCTTGTAGCATATTGCCAATGAATTTCCCTATATTTTTTGTGAATATTAATGCACTTTTCTTGTGTTGTTTCTAATAGTCAATATGCGTTTTACCACATTTTGACCTACTTTTACTGAGCGTTTTCTTCTCATGAGCGGTTGAATCGCAAAATTATGACAGCTCTACAACCGCATTATCTGGCTAATATTTTCACTATAATATTATTCCGTTTTGAATTTACAAAAGCATCGGTCGGGCTTGGGAAACTGTTCCAAAACGGTAGCTCTGTCGCGCGTTTGATGCGGTAGCATGTACTGTTATTCGATTATCTGTTTATTCAATCATGTAACACTTCCCTTTTCCAAATTTTCTCTGTTCATTTATTGTCAACCGCAGTGGGATTTTTTTTCCAAGCTGCGTTTCAAGGCCTTCAACCAATCGAATAACGTTGATCGTATAAGGTATTTGGTGCATTTATTTCTCTTAGTTTTCACCCTTCATAATATCTATGCGGGGTATGTGACATGACAATCGCAATCTGCCACGTCGGTGGGCGGGGCGAGCGACGCCGCGCGCGATGGAGAGTTGTCGGGCCTAGCCGCTTAAAGCTGAATATCTGAGAGACGGGAAAATTCTGTGTCGCCCTTCCATAAGTCAGTTTCCGCGTGCATAGATATAATTTTCGCTGCTCCAGTCGACAAGCTGGTGCATGTCGAGAATTTACCGCGCGACGTCGCGCACACGCGCCGCGCGCGACAGCGCAACGAATTACGATTGTCTTGTCCGTCTCCCATCTATGCGTACCGTCTCGTTACTTTCGAAAACATATTCCCTATCTATTACCAAACGTTGTGTTTTTGTCCCATTTTGACACATTTCTTTCTTCAACTTTTTTTTTGTAATTCTCATATTTCCTTTTAATTTATCATTATTGTAAGGCACAGTTATCAACTTAATATTGCCCATCACATGTGTCGAATTTCTCTATCTTTCCTACTTTTCTCTGTAGTTGTCGGCGATCTACTATGAGACTGAATGTAAAGTTCGTTCGATTCGAGCTGTGCTAAACATGGTTGTTTTTGTGGTCCTCACTAGTTGCCGCTGATCTATGATGTGAAAATCGATGTCTGATGATGTTCAAGGTATAATGATGATGATACATTAAATATTATTGATTGGTTTCAAGCATGTAGATCACACATGTCACATCGTCTTTGTACGACTCTATTCTCGTCTTAATGTTTTGAATTGTTCTTGTAAGGAAATAAATACTATTTACCTCTTCCAGTGTTATTGATCAACCACACGTTTTTTCGTGGTTCAGTAGTTTTTGCCTCATTGATTGGTTTTATTGAGTTTGTTCAGAGTTCGCGATCGCGCGATCCAGTCGAGCGGTCCAGTTGCGCGATCGCGAAGTCTGAACGCGGTCTTAATGTTCTGTTTGCCGAGAATATTGACAGCAAAATGAAAACTAGGGTTTTACAGCGGGGAAGATGAAAGGTAAACAAAATGAAGGATTTGTTAGCGATCCGCTTTTGTTGCCGAGGATTAAAGAGGTATGATCAGATATCACTTATTATTCTTACGAATACATAACCAATGTTTGCTAATATTTCAGCATTGCCTCAATTTCGCAGATCAAAAGTTTTTCCGCCCCGAAGACGTTGCTTTCGATCTGCAGAGGAAATATCAGTGAGTTTTTCTTTTTACGATATGGCTTATGTAGAGTCTGTTCGCTGCCAATGATGGGGCGTTTCAATGACGCTGGGTTTGGCTCGCTGCCCGTTCTCCGCCTGTTGCTGAAAGTGGCAACAATTGGTGGGAAACGACTGTATGAACGATATGATACAGTAAGGTCGCTTGCTCGCTTCAACAAGTGATGGAAAACGTCTGACGTCGCGCCAAACTCATCCGTACGACATGCCCCATCATCGGCACCGAACAAAACTGTCTAGTGTGCTGTATTGTGTAGTTGTATTGCAGTAGTTAGAGGTCATTGCCGTTTCATATGATTGCCACTGGGGAATTAAAAGAACACTTGACTAGTTTGGCCCTCAACTTGTTTTCGAAGTGGGAAATAGTGTTCAAGGGTCGTTTGCCCCAGCGCTCACAAAGAGCACTTTCATGATCCGGACTAAGAATAACGGGGCTTACTCGATTGCCGTTGCACCAGACGCCAGTCAAGAAGATCATGGGCCCTTCTGTTCTTTGTTCTCATTGGGGGTAGGAGAGGAATCCAGGATTCGCTTCAACAGTTGGTGAAGAACGGGCTATATCTGCACGAGAATGCTCTCAGGACCCTGCGTGTGTGAACAATAGAATGTGTAATTAAACAAATTATGCGGAAATCAATGTTCACAACTTCCTCTCTTTCAAGCTATTGAGAGGTTAGGCAAACAGATTTTAGTGCTTCTTCTCGAATTTGCGAGCGACACTTTCGTTCTGAATCTTTTTCTTGTTTTGAAGTGCTATTGGGCGTTCATCTGATCTGCATCCGCACTATCTACTTTAGTGAATATGGTCGTAAGAAATACAAGCCATTCGTCGCAATGGTACGAGAAGGATTAAATCGTCTCAACATCAAGGATAGACCTGAGAACGCGGAGGCAGTAAGTACTGAAAATAATGACGACGTCACTGTGGTTCTAGAAAAGAAATCTGAAAACGCCGTAGTCCGCCCAACAGAACCATCGAAAAATGAGAGGAAGAGAAAGGCTCTGAGGTCCGTTTTTTTTCTTAACAGTATCGTCTTTGAAGACATGGTCTGGGATTGTTGGACGGGTCGAGAGGGGAGACGAGTCATTGGTGCGCCCCTCTTCTTCCCCGACTGTTTTTATCGATATTGAAGAGGGGCTCTTCAATGATGTCGTTCTCTGACTTCATCAACCTGGCAGTTCCGAACGGTGTCTGCGTGATCCTGAAAAGGTTTTCTTTTTTTCTTTAAAAATTTTTTATCTTTTTTTTCAGCTCAAATTCTTCAGCGCCAAAAGTAGAAGACGTATGCATATCGAGCGATGAGGACAATGACAGGAAGTTTGAGGAATATAAGGTTAGGCTCAGTCAAATAAGTTTTTTTCTTCTTTTCTGTTGCATGTTCCTAGTTCCAAACTTGTGTTTTCTTTGTAGGGTACGAATGGTGCTAACAAGGCCGTACTGAACTTGTACAGCAAAAAGGATGCTCCTTCAGTCGCATCAAAAAAGAAGCGAACTGATACTGGGAAGAACCCTGTGAGTGATACCTTCGTTTATCTATAATCTATCTGTAACCTAATTTTTTCATTCATTTTCATACACTTCATTGTGTTCCTGTGTTCAGGCTACTTCATCGTCCGTTCCGAGCGCTCCTCGGGGACTTGGCAGCGTTCCAACTTTTTCTATCCAACCGCGACCGTCAACAGTTACGTTTGAGCAGTTGGGTGGATGCGATCGGCAGTTTTTGGTTAGGTTGTTTACAATGTTTTACCGTCTCGGATTCTTGCTAAATTTTGTATAATTTTTCGCTCTTGAGGAAGTTTGTCGTCTTGCGATGCACATGAAACGGCCGCATACCTACAATATGCTTGGAGTTGAACCACCAAAAGGATTCCTTGTTCACGGACCACCTGGATGCGGAAAAACGTTATTTGCACAGGTAATTTTGCAAATTATTGGAATTTAGAAAATATTCCCGGTGAATATGGACAGGAATTTCGAAGAGTTTTGAAGACACGCCTAATTCATTTGCACCCGCGACCCGCTCTCGGTGAGGCTACTACCGGCCCACTGCTTACGGCAACGCTCAGCTTCCATTTGGCAGGCTGATATTGCTGTTGTTCGCCATCTACTATTATGTCGTACTATAGGGTGGGTGAGGGCAATAATTAGTAGAAGAAGCTAAAGCACCAAGGAAACACTCGTCCCGACATCGCTCCTATCGATCGGCTTATGCACGCACAACAGGCGGTCGCTATGGGGGTCTTTATGCGTGCATTGTTGAGGCGATTTCCTCTGCTTTTTTTCACTTGTGTTCTTACTGTTTGCCATTAGTATCCCAGCTGCAACACAAACTCAGCATTTTTCGTACCCGGGCGTGCTTTTAACGCCTGTTCGCCGGTTGAAGTAATCTAGCAAATTCCTTTAAGGCCCGTGGCAAGGGCAACCTCGCATCTGTTGCCGATGATACAACTAGCCGCCCCAGAACTGGTCTCGCGCGTGTGTCTTGGCGATACTGAAGAGAGAGGTAGTTCGTGCGAGTTTGTTGCGTCATTGCTGAAGCAAGAAGTGCACCGTGTGTTTGCTGGTACGTGACTGACAGCTGAAGTGACCATCTATTTTACTTATTTATTGAACTTGCTTACCACAAACTTTTTTTACCTGGTTTTGGTCCCTTCTTCATTGCTGTTTAAATTATGAAGTTGTGAAAGCTTTGCTTCTCTTCCATCGATCTTCCCAGTGATCGCTTTCCAGAGGCGCTAATTCAGATTCTTGACGACATCGATGCGATCGCTCCGAGGCGTGAAACAGCTACTCGTGAGATGGAACGCAGAGTTGTCAGCCAGTTGAGCAATTCATTAGACGGTAACCCTTCAATTGCTTTTCTTTTATATCTTTGATGTTAACAAACTCTATTTACCGCCTGTTAGTTCAGAGTTGTCTGGCCAGAATAGAAAGGCATCGATCGGTGAGAGAATTTCTATAGCGAATGATGGTGAAGTGAGCTTGATGGACGATGAACCAAAATGTATGTTTGTTATGTAATCTGGGCTATTACTTGTGCTTTCATTGATTATCGATTGTGTTTTCAACAAAAGTGCATGATTATTACTGATGACTACTCATGGTGGCTACTGCACTCTTGCTTGGCATCAAATACAGTCCTCATGCTAAACAACTTCGTAGGCGCGTTCTCTTGTACAAGTAGTCTGGCCCTCAATCTCTCAGATTGTCTCTTTTTCTCGGTTTTATGATATGTAACGAAGGTGCTGCGGCCGCCATAAGAGGCAACACTGACTTCTTCCTAGTTGTACCACCTAACAAAAACATGAAGGTATTTTCCAATCCAGCTGAGTTTCAGTCTTTACACCATGTTTTTGCTTTTTATTTCTTTATTTCTCACTGTTAGATGTATTAGCTGTAGATAACGCGGTGAAACGATCAGTGGGCCAGGGGCGGCAGGGTATTGCTTTGCTAGCATAAACGAGTCGGTCCAAAAAACTCTTCCGCAGTGGCTGCCAGCTTCTTATTTAGGTTGTTCTCCGTGAATTTCTTCGCCTTTCTCTTAGCTGGAGAGTCACTCAGCGACTGTAGGTTAGGTGTAGGTAGTAGTTGATTGCCAATATCCCAATATACAATTGCAAGAGGTGCTTATAAGTCTTCTTTTCTAGTGTGGAATAACGCACGTAGTGTTTTCGTTAGTTAAAAGAGTTCTATCAAACTTGTGCGAGATCTCGTCCTGATCTTTGGCTTCTGTTGATCAACATCAGAGCGAGTGGGATCGAATAAAGCTTAATTCTTCAATTTTGCTATGAACAAAATCAATATTTAGCTTGCATTGTAACTTCCATGGTTTTTCATAGGGTAGCATCACATGTTGACTTCCATTTCTAAAAACAGCTTCTAGGGTTCGCTCTGATTTCTCCCATAATCTGAGGTATACTGATCTGCTATGGCAAATTTCTTCCAGCCTGCGGACATGTCTTGGTGACTGGCACGACAAGTCGCCCTGATGCAGTGGACGGTGGATTGCGCAGAGCTGGTCGATTCGATTGTGAAATTTCTCTCGGTATTCCAGATGAGCAGGCCCGTCAGAAGATCCTCCATACAGTATGCAAGTGAGTTTCTGGCTGCTAAGCAGTTCTGGATTTGTATGTTTCGTCAGCATTAAAACTCATCTATGACTGATAATCCCCTTAATGCTTTTTAGACTTCCGCTTGATGATGATGTCAGTATGAAAATGGTTGCGAGACTAACTCCTGGCTACGTCGGCGCTGATTTATCCGCACTGGTCAGAGAAGCGGCGAAATGTGCTATTAACAGGTGAAGCCCGCTTGCACGATACTCTCGGTTTGTGGGTTTATACTTCCACATATAAATTTTATTCAGAATATTCGACACAATTGTGAATCATAACTCCTCCAAACGCCATATGACAAATGAAGAGATCAAGGAAGAACTGGATAAAGGTAAATTTTGGTGCAGATCCTCTAGCAATCCGCTCTGCCAAGTGTAGCTTTGGAATCTGCCTCAGTGCGCTGCGCTACCCTGGAGACTTGCAAAATTGTAGTGTGAGTCCTGCGGAGGTTTCAACTGTGGAATTTAAAGTGGTCCTGTATAAATTTTATTATTCAGTAGTGTATTTTAAAGTAGAAAAAAGCCCCAAAAAAAGCTTAAAAAAATTGATTTTTGTACGAAATCATCGCGTGTTTTCTTTTACTTAGGCTAACAAATATTGCAGCTCTAGATGAAGTATGCCAGCAAGAGCTGTTTTCGCATTCGTAAAAAAGACCTCAGGGAGACGGAGGTACATTAAGTGCTTTTTGTGGCACCCAAGAGTCAACATTCCAGTGGAAAAGTGACCAGTCGAAGTCTCTGTCTCGAGAGCTTCTTTGGAAGGTTCTATGGGGTAGCTAAGCAGGTGAGCGGGGTAGCACCAAGGAATACGCCTCATTTCACGAAAAATGAAAACGAAAATATGTGAACACTCTTGGAGCCCTGTTGAGACTGTCAAAGAATGAAGGAAATTTTTGGTGCTTATAACCTTGGGAGGGGTACATCTGTAAGCTTTTTTGATGTGTGTCTTTGTCTTTTTTTTCTTTTGTCTTTCTACAAGCATGTCCCATCTTACGAATCTTCTGAATTCCTATCAAGTCCCCGTAAACTCCTTTCAACTTGGCGAGAAAGCACCAGCGTTATTGAAACACCATTTTTCAAATATTTAGCAGTCATTTTGACAAGTTCGAGTTCACCGGGTGCTCTACAGGCGATAAGAAGGCTTACAGAGTGTTGACAAAGTTGTCCGGAATTCACACACATTCCGTTTACAGGATTCGGTACGGTGACGGGCGCTTACAGATGCGCCCCCCTCCCCCGTCGTTATTGTAATTCTGGTGCGGTGTTCGTTATTGTAATTCTGCTAGTTACTGGTTCTTCTGCTGATTCAGTGTTCAGTAAATGCTTCAGGACTGTTGAAAATTCGACCTAATGCAGCTTTTGGCATGTTCTAAGTTTTTTTTCCGCTGCTGCATATTCAGTACTTTCGTAAAAAAGTGCCGGTCGCTGTTCCATAGAAACTGGATTAAATAGCTCTCTTTGGAGAGGCTGCGATTTAGGAAGGAGTTGAAGGGCCAATCGATCTGCAAGTCAGGGAGGGGGTTTATTGTTCTAGTCGCACTCGTTAAGTTGGAGTCTGATTCCTACCCAGTGACTCCGAGGAAATGGGGAAGGTTAAGTTAGTCAGGGTGGGATTTGATCCAGGGATTTGGCCCACGGACCGTGCACCTTCTAAGGGGCACTATCTGCGACCACCTACACCTGATCTGTACATACGTTTTGTTTGAGGTGTCTTTTTTAGTACTGGCGTGGTTGCAAGCAGACGACGATCCGAAAGTACTGGAAAGATTGGGTGGATTCAGCGTGAAAATGTCAGACTTCGAACGGGCTCTGGAAAATGTCCAGCCATCTGCAAAGCGAGAAGGCTTCGCCACTGTGCCTGATGTTTCATGGGAGGATATAGGAGCTCTGAGCGACATTCGACAGGAATTAGAATGGAATATTTTGGTGAGTATAATTTGGCTTCCTATACTGTAGCTCTTAGAGCTATTAAGAGCAATTATCTCTCTTCAAATTGCCACATTTTCTCCGATTTTCTCCGAAATGCCGTTCAGTTATAATGTTCTTGCTAACTATTCGATTGATGGCTTATGTGGACTTTGCACATCTGCCGCTAGTCGTTAACGGCATGCGCTCATGACCTTATTGGATTACCCTCGTCGTCGTCGTCTGTCTGTTGTGGTAGACTGGGCGAACGGGTGGATGCAGCGATCCACAGGCCCGTCGACGG